ACTGCCTATGCCCTTGTCCTCCTGCCCTACAAAGGGTGTGTTCTTAGGTGAGGTGAGCCCCACGTGAAATCTGAGTGGGTTCCAGAGTCATCAGATTTTTTTTTAGATCCACTCAGCTCAGGATGTATTTACTTTCCAGTTATATTTTAGGTAATGTCAATTTCTGTTTTAACTTCCTTTTATTTGAGAAATATCTTTTCATTTCCAAATATTTACATTTTATTTTGGACTTTTTTGTTGTCAATTTCTAGATATACACTCTTTAAAAACAAGCTTTGGGATGGGGCATGGTGGCTCACACCTGTAATCCGAGCACTCTGGGAGGCCAAGGCAGGAGGATCACTTAAAGCCCAGGAGTTTGAGGTTACAGTGAGCTGTGATCGAGCCATTGCACTCCAGCCTGGGCAACAGAGTGAGGCCCTGTCTCAAAAAAAAAAAAAAAAAAAAACAAGCTTTGGGACTGCAGTGTTAGCAAAGGTATACAAGCACACAAACCAAGTATCTCTATAGGACCTGCCTAGCAAACAGCAGCCTCCCACCCACATTCCCAATGCCTCTCCCTGGGGGCAGCCCTTTGCAACATTTTGAATGATGATTTGGTATTTAATTCCACTTTCTACCCAACATGTTTATCCTTCTGCTTCCAGAATGTTCTTTTCTAATTCAGGCATTACCTATTGATATGGCCTTGGAGGCAGAGGCTTCTCGCCCTGCACTTCTGCCGTCTTCCTCTCTCTTTCCTTCCCTCCTCCTAATAGAATAACGTTATAATTGTCCTGGGATCAATACCCAGTGTTTACATTATTATGACATGAAAAAGAAATACACAGTTGCATCAGGTAATATTCATTGATTACTTTTTATTTCCTTCATGGCTTTTTATTTTCCTCAGAGTTAACAATTGTCTTGTTCTGTTGCTGTTGCATTGTTTTGTATGTACTCTTTACTAACTCAACCCCACCCTTTCTGCTGATCAATGGAGTTTCCTCTTAGTATGTTCGGACACATCAGGTAGTCTATCAATTTTAGCTTCTTGGAGAGTGCTCTTCTGACCTGCAGCCCACCAGCCTGCTATCCCTGATGCCCAGGAACTCCACTCACCCCAGAAATTTTCTCCAGCCTAAGTAGGATGCCTGGTCCCTGTCTGAGTCTTTCCCTCCCTTGGTTTAATCCGTGGTGTGCTGGAGCTGGCTCACATGGCCATCTCTTCCCAACTCTGGGCAGTGTCACCATAAAATGGGCCATGGTGGGAGTAATCCCACCAAGGGAATCGGCAAACACAAAACTCAGGG